CATCGTTGTGGTTTTGGGGTCAACGCCCTCGAAGGTCTTGGGGTCGTTCTCGTCGAAATTGGCCACGAAGACTAAGAACTTACGGAACCTCCGCTTCTCAAACATCCCCATCAGGTCTGAAAAATTCAAACAAAGTCTTTTATGTGGAAGTTCCCCCACGATCATTGAGTCGTGATCTAACCGCCCTTCGAATCTTTGCTCACGAATGGAGACGAGACACATTCGAGCGGCTTACTTGAAGCTAGCGCCTCGGTCTCAGTCGACGGAACCTTGTAGATCTTCCCTCCTTTGTAGACGAAGCTTCCCTCCACGACTTTAAAGTCAAGGTACCGTGTCACTTCTGTGTAAAGCAGCATCTTCACAAGCTGACCTGCAAACACACACACACACAAATATTAATCCATCTCACTATCCAACACCGTCCTACTACAATCAAATATTATGCCTTGGCAGCATAAAGAAAGAGATTGTAACTGTCGACATGACGGCTCCTTAAAAGTGAAGCCAAATCATCTTGATTGGTCGCCCCCTGGTGGTTGGCTGCTGCACAGGCCTTAAACCCTGCCTCCTCCATGTTAGTGGAAAAAGTAGACGTTTGATGATTTCTGTCTTTCCAGGAAGTTCTTATCACACTGATGTATGTCAAAGAAAATTCTGGTAAGTTCTTTAATTATTTATTTGTTTTTCCGATTTAAAAAAATAGAATCTCATCAGGGACATTCTGTGACAAATCATCACGGTCTCTCAATGAAATTTCACCGGCTTTTTTCGTCAAATGAGAAGCAATGGAACCAAAAGTCCCTAAATTACGACCTGTATTCCCTCCCTATGTACGTGCTACGGGACTAACCATTGGCCATGAGAAACTTGGGGATGAGGTCAACGTTCCAGTCTCTTCCTCGGCCCATGGACTCCGGCGGGCTGTCAGGGAGACTGAAGCGCTTGTACACCTGAGGAAGACGACAGGGAGGAGAAATCTATGAAGCTCACAGACTCTGGAGCATTGAGAAGGATAAATGAAGACTGTAAAAAGGGCAGCTGATGGCAGTGGATGTAAAATGAGACATACTGAGGGACATAAAACGATATTGATTGTTTTTATAGATCCCAGGAGCCCTTTACCTCCTCCAGGGGGGTGATGGAGGAGCTCTCACCACCGTAGTACGGGTTCCTGTCCATGTGCAGAACCTTCTTCCCATTCACAGACATGATCCCGGACAGAATACATTCCTGCATAAAACAAGATCGGATGAAAACATCTTTATCAGTGATACAGCATCAACTTGATCACACAGACAAACCAACAACACGATGAAACAACTGAATTAAAATTGTGACTTCAATGGAGGTGTGATTTACTGCAGGGCTCCTGTGTTAGAACACGTTGATTGGTGTCTTCATTAAAATAAATTATTTGTCAGACAAATCATCTGATGCCTGAAACAACAATGAGCTCATGGACAAAACCATCTTATAAACGCAATGTCTAAAACGCATACCTGTTCCCTATGGTGATGTCATGTGATAGGACCGCCCCAGAGAACGGATGTTAAACCGACAACTTCCTGCCAGGGGTCTCTCAATCAAAACATTATCAAAAGGCGGAGTTTAGTGACGCTGCAGCGTTTGCTTGGCATCATGGGAGTTGTTTTCACTCCCATTGTTGCCATGGCAGTCAGGTTTCTCCCGGTGCTGGTTCATTCAGGGTTAATCATTCAGGAGTTTTTTTGCTGAGCGTTGAGTTGTCAGCAGAGGTCTCACCGTCTGTCTGTGGCTCGGATATCTCAAGAATCGTTCAAATGTAACGTTAAGGGCCCATGAAAGTACTATTTGGACATTTGATGGGTTCAATACCAATAAACTTTGAATAAAACGGTGAACAGCCTCAGGTTCTGTGGACTGAGTCCGGCAGCAGGTCTTTTATTTGCCGCGGCTCAATTACTGCAGGTCACTTTTACAGCTTCAGAAATAAAGCTGCAACCTGCATCACTGCAGGCCAAACAAACCACATTTCATACAAGCAGACTCAGACAGAATACTGCAGCAGTCCCACATGGCAGAATTGGCTTGGCCCAGATTTGGCCAACACACCGTGTTGGACGATGGCACTTGGACGCTCCTGTTTGCCAGATCTGGACCACAGGTAAACCATAGCAATGCCACACGTCAACCAAAGCTAGCCTGTATAATAATTTATAATTTACCACAGGGGGCTACTTTAGGGTCACATTCAGATTACACCTTGTGTAGAGCACCGGATGTTTTTAGAATATTTCGGCCACATTTTTAAAAACATTTTTTTACAAGTGGGCAATTTTAAGGTCACATCCATTTTGTACTGGCCACAAGAATGTCAGAAGTGCCACATCATTGCCTGGAGTGGACCACATCCGTATCTGGGATTACAGAATAAATACACAAAAGGTTTCGTTGTGGGTTTTTTTTAAAACAATTTTATGAGGAAAAGTTACATATTCCACCTTTTAATGCAGGTTTACACGCTGCGTTAGATATGAACTGTAATATAACTGAGTAAACGCAAGTTAGGAGGGTTTGACAGCAGGACATTAGGAGCGGTGTGCGCATGCGCGACTGGATCCTTTCACCCATGAATCCACTGTAATAACAATAATAACACTTATAATAATAATCTACACTTTTAAGAACAGCGTGGGGGGGGTGGTGTCGATCGTTAAAAAACATGCTATTGTGAAAATGCGCCGACAGAAGCACATTGGATGCCGTTTATAAAACTACCAAAATGTCGAGTGTTGAGCAGAAGAAAACCTCGATCCGCGTCAGGGAGGATGTGTGAGGTTGTGTCGCTGCTGCCGCACTGGGTGTGAGGAGTGATGAGGAGTAAACCCCGAGCTTAGGCCTGCGCCAACCTCAGGATGAGGGCCTGTCTGTGCACACAGGACCATGACACACTGGGGTTACGCCTAGAAGATGATACAGGGTGTAACGCCACCCTGAGCCGGCTGCATGGATCACAATCCAACCAGATTGAAATCAGATTAAACCTCCAGACGCATCGTTTTTTCCTCACAAACGGGTCGAGATGTGTGTTTAAATGTCTTATCACGTTTTTTTCCCTGCTGTCACAGACGCACAGGGATGCAGGAGGATTTCACTCCTGGCGCTGCATGGGGAGAGTCTGCAGGAGTCAGACTCCAAAATAATAATTTATTAAAAAAAAACCCACACCATCATTCCTCACACCACCAATCTGCTGCTTTTTTTTTTTTTTTTAAAGAAAACGAGCTACTCACTGTGAGTCCGGTGCCCAAAACGATCACATCATATTCCTCATCCATGTTGTATCAGCAGCGCCTCTCCCGTCTCGCCCTCTTTACGCCTGCAGAAATGAAGGGTGTTGAAGGAGGCGATGCCACTGAGTCCACCGACCGGGAAACTGGCTCTTCTGTCTCCGCACTCCGAGCGTCTTCGAACGGCTCCTTCGGAGTTCGGTGGTACTGGTTCAATCACACGGCTTTAACGAACCAATGGAGTAAAGTGTCCACACTGTCACCGGCGAGGACGACCAAAGATGGCCCTGATCGTGGAGCACTCTAGAACAATGTCGTTGCGCGACGGGAGCTAGTGCGCATCCTCCAGCTCTCTCCCCATGTTGCCACACAATGGACCCAAACAGCAAAGAGCTGCGCGTAACGGGACACCGCGCTCCGAAGGTGGATCCACCGGAGGATTACGCACGCGTTCGGTTTCGCTGTACACTTTGGCTTCGGAGTTGGATGATTTAAAAAAAATAAATTCAGCCCAAGTCTTGCGTGTTCTCTATTTCCCTTTTCTGTCCTTCCTTTCCAGTTGTAGGCGCAGCGCTTTCGTGGATGCAGGCGGTGGTATCCCTCCGCCGCTACAGCTGTGTGGATGGGAGCAGCTTTCACTCACTGACCTCAGATTAAAACATGTTAGAAACTTCACATGTGCTTTTGTGCACGCGTGTCGTTTGTGTGTGTGTTTGTTACACTGTGTGTGTGTGTGTGTGTATCATACATGTGCTGTGATGGTGCAGGTGGTGATTTAAAACCAAATGAGTGTGTCAGCACCATGGACAGCTGCCAGGTGTACCTGTCACTCAGAGCAAAGTTCACACGTCACATGTTTACCTCTTTTTAACAAGACAGTGACTCAGGTGTTTTCTGCTTTAATCATAGTAATAATGCAAGATTAGATAAGATAAGATGAGATGAGATTAAATAAAACTTTATATTGATCCACACACTGGGGAAATTCAGTTGTTACAGCAGCAGGCAGGTCTGAATGAGGTAGAATAAAAAAGAAAAAGGCAATATATATATATATATATATATAGCTTTCACTGTCAGGGTTTGTGTAGAAATGTTTCAAAGTAAAGTGCAGTGGCACAGGATGATTGGACGAGCAAGTTTGTACGTACATTGAGGAGATGTCGTGATGTGCAGATTACACAAATGTGCAAAACGTTATTTCAGTGCAAATAGTGTGAGTAGAGTGAGATTTTAAAAACCGGCGTAAGAACAAACTTTGAGTTGCCATGTTGAAAATCATAAAGCAGTGAGTATAATCTATCTTTCTCTGTGTGTGCATATATATTATAAATTCATAATGGTTGACAACATGTATGTATGATATATAAGACATGTGTGAATATATAAAAGTGTGAACACTGTGTAAAGTAAAGCACAAAGCTTTAATAACTCAGCCTTGAATAAAATAATACATGTTATGTTTCAGTTTTACGTTAATTTCGATGGGTTCATCACGTGATCAGATCACTGCTGATGAACCTGCACAGGTTACCATGAGTACAGATGTGTACCTGCACAGTACTCGAAGTAAAAGTACTTCGTTACACAGAGTAGAGGAGTAACAACAGAGCAGGAAGTGTTTCTCTCTTTCTCTCTTCCTCTCTTCCTCTCTCTCTCTCCGGCACATGACGGTCAGCTGGTCCGAGTCACGTGATCGCATCTCTTCTCTGGCGGAAGCGCTGAACAAACATGGCCGCAGCGAGCAGCTCCGGCAAAGTGCGACTGACGACGCTTCTCCTCCGCCTGCTCGGCCTCCTCTCCTCCGCGAGCTGCTCCGCTCAGGTGCCCCTGCTGCTGTGGTCCAGCGACAGGTAAGACACCGCGTCACCTCTTCGTGGAGGAGACACTGGCTGCTAACGCTAACGCTAATGCTAACGCTAAGCCCTGCTAGCTGGCCCAGCTCAGACCAACTTCACAGCCTGAAGAGAGAAAGAGAGAAAGAAAGAAAGAAAGAGAAAGAGAGAAAGAAAGAGAGACAGATGATGTTTAATGTTTGTGGTGAAGGTTCACACTTTTCAAAAATGTTGAACTCATGTTGAGGAAACTGGGTTTAAGTTTTAAAATCCAACTTTGGTTCTGGAATCAGCTGGAATCTGATCCCCCATCTGTGATTTAACATCTTTCATGATTCTTTGTCAGGTTGTTTCCATGAAGTCACAGTTGTGTTGTGTTTATTCGCTGATTGTGAAAGTCCCTCAAGAGAAACTGTGATGAGATCAAATAGAATAAAGTGTGAATACAAAGAGGAAAGGAAAGTAAGATGTCCTCTTTGAGCTCAGCTTAGAAAACTAAGTGTTTCTCATACTTGGAAACGATCTTCCTCTTGTCTCTGCCTCGTCCTTTATTTAAGATCTTAGAATCATTATATTTCTGTCTCACTCCACCGATCTTTGTCTCGAATAATGAGATCCTTCATAAGTTAAAGTTACGATTTAAATGAAACTTTGGAGTTTACATAATATCTGACATTTTATCTGAGGGGTCAAACTTGTACAGCCCACATTGACAAATCAAGGGTGAGGGGAAAAAAACCACCTGAAAACTTGATATGTTTTTGTTCCCTGCTCATTTAGCCTTCCACCGCTGGCCTCACCTGCAGCTGGTCACATCACATCCAATGACCAGTTGTCCGCGTACCTCGCGGCTGCGTTGGGCTCTGGCCCTCACACTGTGCTGCTGTTCCTGCAGGACAAGGTCAGTCCCAGACACGTGAAAACCAAACTCCTGCTCTGTGGCAGACAACAGGACTGTCCCCCGAACGGACTGGAGCTGAGTGTGAAAAGAGTCGAAGCGTCTTAAACCCGTACAGTTAAAGTTTCTCTGAGGTTTTCAAGGATCTAATGTGCTGGAGAGTTTGTCCTTGGGTCTGTAACCTGTGGAAAGCAGAGCAGTCACGTGTCGTTTGTAGCTGCACCGTGTAAAGTCTTCTCATTCTGGTGTGACAGTGACGTTTGATGTTACTTCCCATTTCACAGTTCCTCTATAACACAGCCCCGCTTTCTGCTCTTTGGTGGACGCTCCTGTTCCCGACTGATCAACAGGATCAACTTAATGTCGTGTGAAGTTTTCACCAGATGTTGTTTTATGGAAAATGTCACATTTTATTAATACAAATAAAAATTGAATATTTTATTTCACTGCACATTTCAAGGCTCCCAATGACACCTTGCAATTTATCATAAATAAACACATGAACGATTCTAATAATTAAACTAGTTTAAGTATTTAAAGTGTTGAAATTGGATTTGGAGACAAACAACATGAGAATAATTAAAAAGTGAATCAGCTTAAGACGTTAAAACAGTAACAGATTATTATAAATGAACATAAGAGGCACAAAGTAAGAATCTGCTTAATGAGGGACAGAGAAGATGTTGTGTTTGTTAGACTCGTGTTTTGAGTTTGTGATATTTGTCTTTATTTGTGTTCAGTTGAGCAAAGATGACTTCACAGTCTTTGGTGGCGTGTTTGGAAACAAACAGGACAGTGTCTTTCACAACCTGGAGGTAGGTTTTTGAAACATATTCACACTTTAATCCCGAGTGAAGAGGATTTCATCAGATGAATAAAACCAATAATTCCACTCGCTCCTCTCCAGGCTGCTCTTCAGTCCTCTGCGTCGTCGATCACGGTTCCAGCCTTAGAGTGGACGGGCGCCTCTTCCTTCCCGGCTCTGTTTCAGGAAACACTCGGAGTGTCGCCTGTGCTCGTAGATGCTGAGACTCTCTCACATCTGACCATCAACACATCCGTCAACAACTTACTGCTCATCAATCTTCCTTATTGTACCGGGTGAGACTTCAGTTTTTCCGTCCCTCTCTTCTATTTCTGCGTCTAGACATGAAGAAAATAAACATGATTTTTTTGTTAAACAGATCACACAAGTCTTGTAAGGAAGTCCTGCACGACAATGGTGAGAATTAGAATGTCATGGTGTCATATTTATAGCACCGTATCATTGTAGTCATGCAACATGTAACTCAAGTGCATTCTTCTCTCAACAGATGAGATCATTGGAAACGTTCTTAGTGTCGTGAAAGAAAAAAATGTTCCGTACACTGCGATATACACGGGACTCCAGCCGTCACGAGTAAGACTGTCACACCAGAAACATTCTTCCTCTGTACGTACAAAGAAACACATGACGACTCGAAGATCTTAAATTGTATCTGCAGGTCATTTCAGAGGCGTCTGTGTCGGACCAGTCCGTGAGCCGCTCCTTGCTCCAGGCGGTTGAGGCTGATGTCAAAGCGCCGATCATGTTTAATCAATCTGGAAACCCCTGCATCATGCTTTGGGCTCAGAATCTCTTTGTGAGCCACGAAAGCCCCTCAAAGTGGATCGACCTCGCTGAAGAAACACCCTCCTTGGCAGGGTCCATGTGTAACAACACTAACTCACTGTAAGATCCCCTCTCCGTTACAAGACAACTTCAGTTTTGTGTCAGTTAAAGGAGAGATGTGATTTTTAAATGAATTGTTTTCTCTTTTTTTTCAGGCTTGTCCTCACTTATCCATCTGGCTCCATATTAAGGTAAGGGGGATACATTTCTCATTTAAAGGAAAAGTTTGGCAAAGAAAAGCTCATTTACATCTTGTATTTGTAAAGATTCGACAAACAAGATATGAGGTGATAACAAGTGAGTTTGAGAGAGCTCACGTCGCCTTTTGACAGAGCTGTTTTCAGACGTGCTCTCTGGACAACGTGTTCCACCATTTTGCTGGAGTTTTTTTGTTTTTTCACATATGAAGAACACAGCAGGAGCGTGTCCGGGTCAGACGGGTTCACAACAGCAGAAAAACCACAGGAGCCCTCATGTAAGGGATGAGGCGAGACGTAACCTATTAATTCTGCTGCGGAGAGATCACATGTTTTAATTTACAGCACAGCCTCGACCCAGAACCCCTCAGATCTCAAAGTCGACATCTTCGTCTTCTGCGTGTGTGACTCCTCTTTATCATCCTGAGATATTTTTGTCTGTTCTCGGTGTTGGAAGCTTAATCAACATGCCGACCCACTCGCCTGTATTCTCCTCCGCTCTCTATCCTGGCAGGAAAAACTCCAGAAATTGTCTAGAGCCTCTGACTCGGACATTTGTGTTCTCACATAAAGTCTCAAGCTGCTTTCAGACATTCGTTGAATTGAAATTGGTCTGTGACAAGTTTACATTTCCCTCTCCTGTGTCTACATCCTCATTGTCTTACTTGTTTGAATCTGTATGTGCAGGTATGAACACCAGTCGTAGCTGTTAATACACTGAACACTACTCTGTTGATCCCCAGTTTTTCCATGAGTCAGCGCCACTATCCTGTGTCTGGACGGAACTGGTTCACCCTGGACTCTGTGCAGCTGCAGTCCAACTCTCAAACTGCGTCTTTCGTCGGGGGACGCGGCATCTATGCCCCCGCAGAGTACTCCTTCCACTGCCAGTCCGTCAGCAGCTTCCAGGACGCTCTGCTGGTGCCAAACAACACCAACCAGGAAACATCCAAGTGGAGCCTCAATTTTATCGACTTCCAGGTACGTCTCTCGTGCTGCGTTCTCCTCTCTGCCTCTCAACACCGCTGCAGCGAGGCCTCACGTTCCTTCGTCTTTTGGATGTCAACCGTTTCATACGTTCTCTGTTTTTTTTTTTTTTTACAGATTCAGGGCTTCAGGTTGGCAAACGGAACAAATTTCTCCTACGCCAGCGACTGTGCAGGATTCTTCACCGCAGGGATATGGATGGGGCTGCTGACGTCGCTGCTCATGCTGCTCATTTTCGTGTACGGTCTGCACATGATCATGCAGCTTAACACCATGGATCGATTTGATGACCCCAAAGGTCCATCGATATCAGTGCCTCAGTCGGAGTGAAGCGCTCTTTACACACACGCACCCACACACACGCACGCACACGCTCCTCAGTGCCTCCTGATGTTGGGTTTTGGAGTCAGTCTGTGTGATTTAGCTTTTGTATGTGTGGAGCTTTTTACTTTGAAGGTATTTGTCAGACAGATCATATTACACTGACGTCCTCTCGTTACTTTTCCTTCCTGAATCCTTCCTCAGATGTATTTGTTCCAGCGTTATCCCACAAGGCACATTCCGCTTCATTTCCCTACGTGTACAAGTGCCAAGATGGATGCGACCTTTCTTTCTCCACATGAGCTAATTCAGAGTGCGTGTGCTAAATGAAGTCTTCGTGCCAGAAACGCTGCATGTTTCCCCTAAAGATAAAGACTAGTTGCACTCTTAACTTGCAAGTGCCAATGTGAATGTCTTTGCCGGAAGCCGTAGGAACTTTTCAGACCTCAATTCTTACTCTTGTCTTTATTTTTCCAACTCGTCTGTAATGGAAAGACTACTGCTAATGAAAGAAGTGCCTGTGTGTATATAATGTGTTTGTGAAATGTGTGAAATTCCCGAAATGTGGCTGTTTTGAAATGGCCCCTGGCTGAAATGCTTCCTCTTGGGTTTAGTTTCACTTATGGTTGAATCGCAGACTTGCGCCACTTCAATCTCGTGTTTTATCGACAGCTGAATTATTTATATGAAACTACTTTATGTGCTTTCGCTGCCCTTAAAGTTTGCTTCAGGTTCATTGATTAATTTAACAACGGTGCCTCAGTTCTGCTTTTGTCAAATTCATAGAGTACTGTACAATGACTTTAATTGCAAATAAAGAGATCTATTAATTGTAAATGACTTTTTGTAGTTTCTGGTCATGCAAACATAGAAATGAATTCTTCCAGCTTTGTGTAACTTAATGATTTGAATGTGTATTCATGCATATTTATATATTGTAAACTCAATTTGCATTATTCATGGTCTGACTCGTTGCCATTGTTACAAGTCACAACACTGGCAGCAGCGTTGCAGGCGGAGGAGACGGCAACACGGGATTAGTGTGTCACTGTGTGTTAACGTGTGTTCTTTGTCAGCCTCTCGGCTACAAGCTGTCGTTGCAGGATGCCGGTGACTCGAGTTCAGGCAGCAGCAGCTTTCTGCAGCAGCCAGGAGAGGAAACTCTTCCCCCTCCATTATGCTCCAGACCGACTGGGTAACCAGATGCACCGACAGGGGGCGCCACACCTCGGCCCTGGCTGCTATTTCAACCAAGAGGTTTGTGTCCTGACATGTTTGATGCATGTAGTGAGCATGTTGTTTTTACACACGCGTGTTTCTGCAGAATGTTTGGTGACTTTTCTCATTGACGTTTTAGAAAAAGAGTTTAAAGTCTGAATCCAGATGAATTTTAATAAGACGTTTGATTTGATTGAAAATTTGCTGAAAAGTCAAAGGTAAAAACATTGAGATCAAGCTTTATTTTCCAAGGGAGACTTGAGAACTAGAAACATTCACAATCAGCAACAATACGAATAAATAAATAAAAACATATCGTAGTAAAGATTTAACATCTTGTAGTTTGAGGGAAGTTTTGTTTAAATCTTTCCATTTAGCAGGACGATAGTAACTGAATCCAGTTCTACAAATATTGGTGTGTATGTGGATGAGGTCTAAAGTTTATAAGTGACTGGATCCAATTATTTAAGAGTGAATGAACTACACTTCCCATAAACCTTTGTGATTGATCCCCCTTTCCAAAGACCTCCAGAGAGTTTCCTCTTGAATTTAACCTCGTTGTAAATATAGTTTTGTAATATTGTCGTAGCTCCTGTTACAATATTGTAGTCTGTCTCTTCTGT